CACTCCTGGGCTCCAGCGACCCTCCACCCTCAGCCTCAGGTATCTGGGGCTCAGGTGCCTACCACCCACCATCCTCTTTCCTTCTGGAGGGCTGACCCTACCACCTTTTCTTGGTCACTGTCCCCGGCCCTGGCATGTGGCAGGCCCTGTTGCTGAGCAGGTGGAGCACGGTGCCAGGTATATCCGCACCACCCAGGGCCGCCCTGGTGCTGCCTCCTGCCTTCTTCCCCCTGGGAGCCTGGAAAGCAGCCCGTGCCACCTCTACTGTGGAGGGTCCTCACCCATGCACCCACCCGTGCCGTGCTGTGTGCTGCCCTGAGTGGCTGGCAGAGGAGGAGCAGTGCTCAGGGCTCGTTGGAGCAGCTGCGCCGTGCTGTGGGGTTCTGGGGTGACGCGGTCCAGGGAGCCTGGCACTGAGGAGACGGTGGGTAGAGGGGCTGGGGTCCAGGAGCTTTGGAGTCTTCGCCCCCAGGGGGCTGTGTGGGCAGCGGGAGGACCCGGAGTCCCGGGCGCTGGCAGCTGTGTCTCCCTGTCCTGGGCTGGCCAGGGCGTGGTGTCTGTAGTGCCGTACCTGTGATGAGGTGAAGTGCTGGTGTGGGAAACTCAGCCCCTGGGAGCCTGGTCACAGCGGAGGCTGCACCGGGGAGGGGCCGGCGCAGCTGGAGCACTGGTGAGGCGAGCCCTGCCGGAACCAGGCTGAGGGGCCCACGAGGCCTCGGAGCTGGGATTCTAGGTCACCTCCAGAGACGGCAGTGGTATTTATAGCTACAGCAGCCACCACTGGTGGAGAAGCCGGCGCAAGCTGTGACGCGGGCGGCCCGCTCCAGAGCCGTCACATTGTGCCCAAGCCCTGAGGAGGCCAGGTGCCACTTTCTGCCTGGCAGGACCTCGTCTGGCTTGACGGTCCCCTGTGGGTGTCCTGTTAGCACCACGCCTGCCCTGCTGGCCCCTGGCAGGCGGCGCTGGCCCTCTGCTGAGAGGTCTGCCGCAGGCTCGCGGGTCTGTGGAGAGGCTGCCCTCCCTGCGGCAGGAGTCGGGGCTGCCAAGCGCCCTTCGCCGCCCCGCTGCGCCCTTGCTAAGTGGCAGCACAGTGCCAGTCAGGCCCAACCCACCTCCCACCACACCCAGCAGCAGATGGGATGCAGAGGCTCCACAAGTGACAGTGACAGGCAGGGGTGCCAAGCTCCAAGGGCGAGTCCCCAAGGAGGGAAAGTGACACCGGTCATCGTGTCGGGTCAGCAGGCCAGGGCCCTGCTCCTGCCTGGCCTCACCCACCAGAGCTAAGGGCTGGCTCCAGGGTGCCGTGTGGAGCTGCCTGTCCCGGCCCAGCCCTGTCCCAGCCCCCTGGTTCCCGGGCCCAGGCAGAGGCAGGTGGCTGTGGGCTGCGGATCACGAGACAGGCAGGGCAGAGGTGCTGGAAGCCTGCGGAAAGTGGGCCAGGGCTGGCTGATGAGCCCTTGGCTGACCCCGGGGCTGGCCTGGGCAGCTGGTACAGAGCAGGCCTCCCAGCAGCCCCCAGAGCAGGGCCAGGCCGCATGGGCACAGGTGGGTACGGTGTGTGGGGTGAGGCAGCTGTGCAGAGCTTCGAGGGTCAGGGCTTTCATTTTGTTTGGAGGTACTTAGCGTCTGTGTGTGCATTTGAGAAGGGGCTGACTTAATTAAAGCTGTGTATGGAATGCTGATGGCACCAGGCACCCACTCTAGGCCAGTGCCCGCCCTCTGCACTCCACAGCATTAGCCCGATTCGTCCTCGGGCAGCCCTGGGAGCTGGCACAGTCGCCGCCAGCCCGTCCTGCACACGGAAGCAATAGCAACTGTCCTGAGAGGCAGCTGGCCCTGGAACTGCGCTTTGGCATTGTGGCCCAGGGCACAGGGCAGCCCTCCCTCCACCCCAGGGGGCTCCTGCCCCTCTTCCTGGAGGCTGGTGTGGCTCGTATGAGGGTCCAGCTACATCCCCGGGTCGGGGAGGTTTGCAGGCAGCGTCCAAGGGCAGTGACCCTGGCTCGGGGCCAGCAGCTCCTCCCCTGGCCCCAGCCCTGTGACCCAAGCAGGGGGAGGTTGTGCTCTGGTCTCAGGCACGGGCACCTGTGCAGGGCCCACAGCGCTCACACTGCGTGTGGTTTGAGAACATCGTTAAGCACGGAGCAGGATGCCACCTCCGCCCACATGTTCCAAGGTGGTCGGGGACCACGGCCCTCGGTGACCAGAATGCAGAGCCCTGCAGACCTCCTGCCCAGGAACCGCTCATGTTACGTAGCCACTCGATCCCTGCCTGCTTCCACGGTGCCCAGGGCATGGTGACAGGAAACCTGATAGCCCGAGCGGCTGGCCGGTGCCCTAGATGGCCGTGCTGCCTGGGATCCCAGGCCATGCAGCCTCTGTCCCAGGGCAGTTCCTGCCTTGGAGCGGCACCCAGGGGTGGCCAGGCCGAGGAGCACTCAGGATGCTGGCGGGTGGGGCCGGGGAGGTGTCGGCCCCGCTGTGCCCGCTTAGCATCTCATTAACAGCCTCACCAGGCCCTAATGAGGAGACGTGCCAACTCCTCCCGAGGCAGGGGATCTCAGGAGCTCTGGGCTGAGCTGCCTGGTGGACGGGCACTGGGGAGTGACCTGCCAGGCAGGGTGGGCAGTGAAATGCCAGGCTGCACAGGGCCTCAGCCTCCCAAGGCATCCAGCGTCAAGCTGGGCAGGGGGGCCCCGTGGGACACCCAGAAACGGACACCAGCACGGGGCATCCTGCGCCGGGGTTGTTAGCCTGCTGGCCATTTCCACGGGGTGCTGCTGGCTTGCCCAGAGCAGGGTTGCCAGGAACGGGAGGTGGGGCCGCAGGGCTCCGCACACTCCTCCGCTCCACACCTCCCTGTGGCAGGAGGGCCTCGGCACGCATCCTGCAGAACCAAGATCCACTGGGCTGCCACGTGGGGCAGGCTTGTGGATGGCCACTGGGTCCAGGCTTGGGACAGCCCGGAGGGCGGGCAGCAGGAGGGGTGTGGTAGGCCACGAGGTGAGGAGGAAGGCAATACCATGGTTTCCTTCCCCGCTGGGGGACATAGCCTGCAGAGCCGGCCCGTTCCCACTGCCTGGGGCATTGGGATACGCAGGGAAATAAACAGTCTCCAAGGGAAGAAATTGAGAAACCAAGGCCTGCCAGGCCAGGGCCCGGGGACCCCGCCCTGCACTCGCCCAGGACAGAGCCCGCCGGGAGGAGGGACAGGAAGGCTGGGCCTGCCGCCTCCTTCCCTCAGCCACTGCCGCCCTCCAGAGCAACCAGCAGGAAGCAGAGGCCCAGCTGATTCCAGGGAGCTGGCTGGTGCCCTGGCAGGGCCCGTGGCAGATGGCAAATTCTGCTCATTGGAGAGGAGTGGAAAATAATTAGCGTGAGAATAGGGGCTGCAGGCTTCGAGGTACACAGAGCTCCAGCCCAGGGAGAGGCCCGGGCTGAGACGGTGCCACGGCCTCAGCGAGCTCCCCGCTCTTCCTGGCCTCCGTGAGAGTGGCGCTTTTTGGGGTGCTGAAAATGAAAGCAGAAGTGTGTGCAGACTGCTGCTGCTGGGTGCAGTGAGCGCGGGGGGCAAGGGTGGTGGTCAGCGGTCACTGGCAGCATCTCGGTCCGGTGCCAAGGCGTAGGCATGGCCTGCGTGGACCAGCGGCTCCAGGTTGTACCCTTGCCTGCGTGCACCCTGCCTGGCCCTCGGGCTGCTCCAGTGGGCAGGGCCTCCCCACTCCCACGCGTGAGGTTAACGTCCCGAGCCGCCGTGTCCCTACCGACGGGGTTGAATGAGGACCCCTAAATGACGAGGGAGCAGGAAGTGCTTCCCGCATCCTTTGAGGCCAGCCAGGTCGGGGTGGACAGCAGCAGGGGCCAGGGGGTGGTTGGGGCAGTGCCCCTGACCCAGCGCACAGGCCGTGCGAGGACGCTGCCAACCTGCCCCCTGCTGACGTCCTGCCGGGCGGCAGCTCTGCTCAGCACAGCTGACAGTGAAAAGCAACAGCTTTCAGGCCCCTCCCTCTGTGCACACGCCCCGGCCAGGCTGGTGGCGCCCCCGCCCGCGCCGGCCCACACACTCTCTGCTGCCTTTGCCTCCGCTCCTTCCTGTGCTGGGGACGCAGGCCTGGCTGGGAGGTGACAGCGGCCTCAGAGAACACACGGTCAGGAGGCTGCTAGAGGCCCAGCACTGCCCCACTCGCCACGCCTCCCAGCCAGTGGTGTCGCCCCTCTGTGCCTCAGTTTCCTCCCTGTGGGGTGGGGTGGTGCCCTGCGGCCTGGTGGATGGGGATGAGGGACAGTGTTCCAGCCGGTGCCTTCTCCTGGCTGCATCTGCCGCACTGGCACTCCCAGAGGGCAGGTGCCAAGGTCACAGGCAGACCCAGCCATAAGGGGTCCTAGCACTTTCCAGTGGCCAGCACCCACTTCTTTCTTCCTTTTTTTTTTTTTTTTTTTTTTTGAGACAGGGTCTCACTATGTAGCCCAGTCTAGCCTTAAACTCTCAGCCACCCTCCTGCCTCAGCTTCCTCCATGCTGGGATTATAGGTATGTGCCACCACACCCAGCTCCACACCCAGCTCCAGCATCCACAATTTGTTTCTTTTCTTTTTCTTTCTTCCTTTTTTTTTTGGTACCAGGAATCGAACTCAGGACCTTGCACTTGCCAGGTCTACTTCTACCGCTGAGCTATATCCTCGGCCCACTGGCATCCACAATTTAAAGGAGGGTTTACCTTCGCTCCCAGGGTCAGTCCCTGGCCAGCAGCTCCAAGCTGGAAGCAGCGTGGCCGAGGGGCTGGTGGAGGACAAAGTGCTCAGCCCATGGCATTCGGGAAGCGGGGAGGGAAGGGAGGAGCTGGGGACCAGAATCACACTTCCGGTTGCACCCCAGTGACCACCCCCAGCAGGCCCCGGCTCCTACAGCACAGTCAGCCCTGCGCTCGCCCATGGGTGAGTCCCCGCTGAGCGCAGCGCCCGTGACCCTGTCGCCTTCCAAAGTCCACCTCTCCACATGTGCAGCTTTGGGAGGACACTTTAGAGCCAAACCCTTGTAGGTTCGAAGGCAGCTCAGAGCTGAGACAGACGGCATCCTGCGTCCCAGAACAGCACTTGGAGGTTGAGTCGCAGATGCAGGAGCTGGGCCTTGTGACCCGGGCAGGTCACCTGTCTGTAAAGTGCCAGTGGCAGCAGCAGGACCTCCTTTTGCAGTGGTAGGGGGTCCACCAAGTTGATGTTTGTGAAGGGCTTGGGTGGGACGGAGCTGCAGCTGGCCGCTCACAGGCTGCGTGAGGCAGGGTGGCCAGCACCACCTGCCCCGGGCTGCCCCTCCAGGCACCGAAGCAGCGGCAGGTGTGTGCATGTGGCCCCACCTGCTGCCGCGTCCAGTCCTCGGTCATGCACACAGGTGGCCATGGGTACTGTTGTCGGGCCTAGGAGGGGAGCAGCTCGCTGCCCCCCGCAAGGCACTGCTGCAGCTCGGCTGGACCAGAAGGTGGCTGGGGCAAGCCAGCCCAGTGGGGACAGAGCCTGGGGCCGCCGGGGCCGGGCCTTGCCGTGCTTAGGGTAGAGGACACTCCCGACCGGGACTAGGACTGGGCCAGGCAGCAGGCTTTCATGCCCGCTCCTCTCGCTCAGCTTGCCTGGGCCATGTGCCTGGCACAGTGACGCTGGCCCTGGAGTGAGGGCGTGGTGACCCTTGGAGGCGGGGGTGTGCTGGACGCTGCGGGTTTAGCCCCGGGTGGAGCGTAGGTGGGTTGGGTTGGCTCCTGAAACTCTGCATCTTCGGGCAGCAGTAGAGACCAGGCTGCAGCTCCTTGGGGTGACGCTGCGGCAGCGGCAGTGCCATCGGGACTCAGGAGGAGGGAGGGAGCTGGCCGCGAACTCGGGGCGGTGTGTGGTGCCTGGGCTGGCACTGAGGGCAAGCTGGGCACCCGTGTCCTTCCCAAGCCTCAGCGTCCCCACTGTGAGGGCGCCCGCCGAGGCCCTCCTGTCTCAGCCCCGCCTGCACCGTGGGCACTGGAGTGGCGGAGTCGCTGGTGCTCCTGCTTCCCAGGGGCCTGGGCGGCATCTCAGTGCCCCTGTCCTTAAGCAGCAGTAACAGGAGGAGGTGCGTAGGCTGGGCCCCAGGTGACGTGGCTCATGGGGACCCCAAGACGGGCGTGTGCCTCGGCCCTGTTGTAGAGGGGAGGAAACAGGCACAGGTCAGTCCTGGTCCAAGGTCACAGCCAGCATGGGGCACGGCGGCCTAACACGGTCCGTCCCCCACGTCACCGAGAGCAGGGCCAGAGCAGAGGTGTCCGTGCGCCTGGACGCTGCTCCGCTTCCCCTTTCCTGTCCATCCTGTCCCCCTTCCGGGAGCCCATGGCCACAGCTGGCCCGGGGCAGACTCTCTGGGCTCGGGTGGCACCCTGAGGTGCCCAGGTCAGTGGGGCTCTCCCGAGCTGTCTGCCCAGCAGGAATGGAGGGATATTTCCCAAGGGAAGGGCGTGAGCCAGGCTGTCCGAGCCCAGGGTCCGGGCAGCAGCTGCTTGGACACTGCCTGGCACCAGAGGGGCAAGAGGGCCCTGGACCCCGGTCTCTGAGCTGAGCAGGAACGGAGGCTGCCACCAGGCGTCAGCAGGGTAAGCAGGACAGGTGGGTGCCGGGGCTGTGTTAGTGTGAGGGGCCTGGAAAGAGGGCGCTGTCGAAGAGGGCTTGGCCAGCATGGATGTTACAGGAGCAGCCGTCTCAAAAAAAAAGAACCTTCGAGGGCTGGGTGACTTCTGCCTGGCCCGGAACGATAGGAGTTTGCCTGGCGGAAGCGGGTAGGTAACGAGAGCACCCAGGGCCCTTGCGGGGCTGTGTCTTCAGGGAGCAGGAGGTCCTGCAGAAAGGGAGGAGGGCAGGGCCCCTGCCCCAAGGTGGGCTGCAATCCCAGGAGTGGAGGCTGCTCCACAGCCGCCAGTGACCCTGGCACAGTGACTCACCGGAGGGGCTGTGGCTTCATCCTCCAGGCCACAAGGAGCACAGCAGGATTTTCACGTAGGGACAGCATGTGCTTTTTTTCAAAAGTTGCATTTTTAGAAAGAGGAACTCCTAGAATGGTGCATGCTTCACCCCAGGGCCTGAATCATCACGGGGAAACTGGGCCTTGTGGGAAGGGAGGAAGGAGGGTGTTGGGACTGCCTGATCATTCTTCCCTGCCCTGCCACTCTGAGCTGCCCGGGGATTGTCCAGGCTGGGAAGCAGCTCTGCTGCCCTCCTAGGACATTTCCTGTGGATGACGTCACACTCATAGGAACAGGCCCCCATTGTGACGGGCTGGGGTCTCAGAGAAAAGACGTCTTTCAGGGCCTTAAATATAGCCTGGGTCTGCAGGGTTGGGAGGGGACCCCATGCCACAGGGCCTGCCGCCCCCACCAGGCTGCGTCCTGTAGGTGACTGGTGGGGGAGGCCACCGGCAGGATGGGGAGGGGTGGGGCAGGGCGGCTGACGCGGGGCTCACACTGCTCGGCCCCTGTGTGTCTGGCCTCTGCCAGCCTAGCCTCCGTAGGCCATCTTTCTCCTGCTCTTCGCCAAGCTAGGGAGGTAGGCACGGGTGACCCTGCGTGGGAGGACCCGAGGCACAACTACGTCACACAGCTGGAGCTGTGGGGTCACTGTGTGCCCACGGTTGGGTGGTGGTGAGCTGGGCAGCTATGGCCCAGTGCTGACCACAGCTGCTGGCCATGGGTGGACACAGAGGCTGCCCCTGGCCCTGTGGCTCCAGAGTCTCGGCAGTCCAGTGCCAGCTCTGAGTGCCTGGTGCCAGGGGGACGGGCAAATGGTCCCCAAGAGCACCTGTAGTACTTACCCTTTGGACCCCACAAGGGGTGGATCAGGACAAGGGGAGGCCCCAGTGCAGGAAGTGTGGGCTCAGGTCCAACTGAAGACAGGGTGAAGTGGCCTCCAATTGGGCCGGGCAGGTGGCACATGGGACCTGCCCCACCAATCCCCTGGGGCAGCGCTGCCCCCCACCCCGTGTGACAGAATGCAGACCCTGGGTACCGCCCGGCCCTGCTGCTGACCTCTGACCTCTCAGTGCATCCCGTGGTGTGGGGTGCTCCCTGCAGCCCCCCAAGCCCAGCCTCCTCACCCTCCAGCTCAGTCTCAGAGCCACCTGCAGAGGAGGGGCAGTGAGGCCAGCTGTTCCCAGCTCGCCCGCAGCCCCTCCCACCCTGTCACTGCGAACCCGAGCAACACCGTCCGCCGCTTGTCACCGATGCTGCCGCTGCTGAGGCCCCCGCCCCTGGCCCGCTTGTGCGCATCTCCCCCATCCCCATCCTTCCCCGCTCGGCTTCCCGGAGTCCCTGCTCCTCAGCTGCTCCGCGGAGTGTGGGTGATGTCACTTCCTGGGGGGAGGAGCAGGCACGACCCCGGCAGGCTGGCCCGCCAGGCTGCCAGCTCTGAGCAGCCCTGGAGCGCTGCGCGAAGTGGCCGCTCCACAGGGCAGAGGACTGGCCTGGCCAGACATGCCAGCTGGCCACCGGGCCCCACACCCCCTCACCCACCCTGAGGGTTGTGTCCACGGGCTGGGGAGGACTTGGCTGCTTCCTTCCCGAGTGATGCCAGCCTCCGAGGACACGTTTTCCCCGGAGCCTCCCCTGGGGAGAGGAGGGCCTGCCACCCGCCCCTGGACCAGGTGCCGTGTAAGCCTCCGTGGGCCAGGGAGCAGGTGCCCAGCAGGGGTGCCCCTCCACACAGCCTGGTGCAGGCTCCCTGCCCTGCCATCAGTGTCTGCCGAGATGACCCCTTGGCCACGCTGCCACCCTCCTCTGGGCCTGGGGAGGGGTCCTGGTTCCTGGGCACTCCTGAGCCAGCACCCACCTGGCTGGCATCCCACTGCTGGGGTCCTGGATGTTGGCTCTAGGAGGTGGGCAGCAGGAGGCAGCTCCTGCCAAGGGGTGGGTCAGTATTTTCGGAGGCCCCAGGACCAAGGTGGGACTTGTGGTCAGGGGCAAAGATGCCAGCGCTGCCGACCACATCTGGGACAAGCCCAGCGGCCCGGGAGTGCAGGGGCTCTGGGTGCTGCATCGGCCCAGGCTACTCCAGGCTCCTCTGCTTTCTTCCAGGAGGTGAGCACCGGATCTGCTAAGCCTTCCAGAGCCGCCAGCCATGCCCGGGATCGTGGTGTTCCGGCGGCGCTGGTCTGTGGGCAGCGATGACCTTGTCCTGCCGGCCATCTTTCTCTTCCTCCTGCACACCACTTGGTAAGTCTTGTGCTGGGCTGCAGACGCTGAGGCAGCCTGTGATCACCTGTTCCTCCCTTCCTGGGCCCTCATCGACCCTGACCTCTCAGCCCCTCTGGAGGGTGAACCTGCTAAGCGGAGCCCTTTCGGGTGATGTACCAGTGCAGCCAAGACGACTCCTGGCTGTCACTGCCCCAACTCCTGCCCTGGGCGGTCACCGGACTGTTGCTGACAGCCGGTGGCTTAGTCAGGTGTCTCACTTTTTCATTGCTAGGACAAAATGCCTGACACTCAGAGCTTAATGTAGGCAAGGTTTATTTTTCTCACAGCTTTTAGGAATTCAGGCCCTGCTGACTGTCTGGGGTGGAAGGGCGTCCTGCAAGGGCCTGGAGGAGGGAAGCCGCTTACATTATGGCAGCCAGGAAGCAGAGAAAGGACAAGCTAGAGAAGGAGATGTGCCCTTCTAGGTCGTGCCTGCAGTGACCGCCTCTTCCAGCAGACCCCACCTCTGACAGCTCATTTAGCTCTGAACTCCAGGGAATGACTGCACTGATGAGCACAACACCCCCACGGTCCAGTCAGCTTCCAAACCCGGACCTCTAAGCGCCGGAGCTTCTTGGGAGACATCCTAGATGTGGACCATAATTTCTGCCTCTGGCACCCAAAAGACTCATGCCATGTGTTTATAGAAATCTGTAAGAGACGTCAAAGTCTTAACAGTTCCAGCATTACTGACACAGAGTCAAGTCCAAAGTCTCCTCTGAGATGCAAGGAAAACTCTTAGCTGTGAGCCCCTGTAAAAATCAGAAAGAAAGTTAAACACTCCCAGCGTTCCATGGCACAGAGTAAACATTCCCACTCCAAAGGGGATAAGTAGGATGAAAAGGAATAGACTAAACCAGTACTGAAACCCAGCAGGACAAACATGAAATCCTGTGTTCCACGTCCAGCACCCAGAGCAACTTGTGAGACGTGAGCTCCACAGGGCGTGGGCAGCCCCTCCCCTGCAGTGTCCATGGCTGCTCGCAGGGCCTCTCTCAGTCTGGCCACACTCACTGCATGCAGCCTTCCTCAGCAGGTGATCCACGTTCTTGGCATCTCCACTGCACTTTCAGCTTCATTCTCACAGCTTCACGTGCTCCCCTTTCAGGCACACTGCCTGGCCCCCCAGGCCTTCTTCTGAATTCCGGGTGTAGGCCTTCCTGACCCCGCCACTTTTGTGTTCTGCATGCCTATAAAACCAGCACCGTGTGTGTGACATCACAGTCTGCCACCCACTCAAGCAGTAGTCAGGCCCCCTTGGACTATGGCTGCAGAGGCCTCCAAGTGCCAGGATGGTTGAGTGCTGTGAGATGAATATTGGAAAAACAATTCTTTAGGTGGCCCTTCTTCAGCAGGGGTCCAGAGCTCTCTTCTCAAAGGAAAACTTACAGTTTTGCACCTTTGAGCCTGTACGTGGTGATTCCTCAGGTACCCTTGAGCCATTTTTCACTGTTGTCTGATGAAAACCACTGGCTTCTTTTTAATGCTGATGTTTCCAGCAACCATGCTCAGTTCTCCATGGCCCCAGCTCTGCAGGCACTGCCTTTCTAGCAAAACTGAGAACTTTTCAAATGGCTTTTTGCTCTTGATTCTCACTGTAAATTGGGCTGAAAGCAGCCAGAAGTTTCCATCCCACAGTTCAAAGGTAGAGCTACCTTAGAATTTCTTCTGTAAGATTTATTAGTTAGCTTCCCTTAATCTAGGTCTCCTGCAAAGCCTCAGAACATGGGCAAAATGAAGACAAGTTTTGTTGCCCAGGTGTAATACACATGGTCTCCATTCCGCCTGGCAGTGGAGGTCTTCTTCCCAACTGAAACCTTCTGAGCCTGGCCTTTACTGTCTGCATTTCTATCAGCTTTCTGGTCTTTAAAGTTCTGACCATAGTCTCCATTAAACTCAGCTCATAGCATTCTAGGGCTTGTTTATTTTGTGTGGGGTTTTTTTCCTGTTTTGTTTTGTTTTGTTTTGTTTTGTTTTGTTTTGTTTTGAGACAGGGTCTCACTGTGTAGTTCAGGCTGGCCTTGAATTCACTGTGTAGTCCAGGTTGGCCTCAAACTCCAGATGATCCTCCTGTCTCTGCCTCCCAAGTACTGGGATTACAGGCGTGTGCCACCATGCCTGGCTCTGGGGCTTGTCTTGCGGGCATTTCCAAACCTTCCCAAACTGCTGCTGCAAGCCACTTCCAAAGGCTTGTGAATCACGTGGCCACTTACGGTCACACCAGCGATGCTCCTTCTCTGGTACCAAAGCCTGTCTTGGTCACATTCTGATTGCTGAGACCCAATACCCTCAACATCCACAACTAAAAGTGAAGAAGTTTATTTTGACTCGTGGTTACAGTCCCTGGTCAGCTGGCTCCAAGGCAGAGACAGCATAGTGGGGGTGCTGGGCTGGTGGAGAGTCGCTCCTGTCTTGGTGTCTGGGAAGCAGAGAGAAGGGAGGAGCTGGGGAAGTGACACTCCCGGCCACACCCTGTGACCCACCTCTTCTAACTGACCCTGCCTTTACCCGCACATCTACCCTGACTTTGGTGGATTAACCTGCAGGTGAGTGTAGCACCCCATGAACCAGTCCCCGTCTGAAAGCCCTGCTGTGAACTCAGGCATCTTGGGGGCGAGTTCTAGATCTGCACTGTGGTGGCAGGCTCTTGGCTTGTGCCTTCCGCCCCGCCCACTTCCTGGAGCACAGTCAGGGTGCTGAGAGGTGGTGCCAACCCAGGTCCTCCTGCAGGTTTGTGATCCTGTCCGTGGTGCTCTTTGGCCTGGTCTACAGCCCACATGAGGCCTGCTCCCTGAACCTGGTGGATCACGGCCGAGGCTACCTGGGCATCCTGCTGAGCTGCATGATTGCTGAGATGGCCATCATCTGGCTGAGCATGCGCGGGGGCATCCTCTACACAGAACCCCGCGACTCCATGCAGTACGTGCTCTACGTGCGCCTGGGTAAGGGCCGCCCCGGGACGGTGCTCGACCGCGCTGTCCATTCGTTCAGCGGTGTGCGCTGTGAGCCAGGCCTCCGCCTGCACCGGGGACTGCAGGGCATGGAGACTTCCTGGGCGGGCCGGCTGTGAACGAAGTCTGCAGGGCACCTGCGTGCGTCTCTGCATCACCTGGGCTGGCCTGCCCTGCAGCGGATGAGATGAATCATTTCTTTGGTGCCCATAGCCCAGAGTCCAGTGTTTGCTCTCTGGGCCTTTAGGGACAAATTTTGCTGTCCTTGAGTCTAGCTGGGAGCACCACCGCAAAGCACTGTGCTTTGCGGTCACCTCAGACAGGCCCACCCCACCCTGGCCAGCCCCTCGGACTGGCTCCTCCTCCTGCAGGGTGAGAGGCCTCCAGCTGGGAAGTAGTGGTTTCTGTGCCTGGACATTTGTGTCTTCCTGCCATGGGTGGGAGCTGGGGGTCCACAGCAGACCCCACAGCCTTGCACAGTCCCATGACATAGACCTTGTCACCCTGCTTCTCAGAGGAGGACTCCGAGGCTCAGGAGTTAGGTAGCTGGCCTAACACAGGCCCGGTCCTGAGTTCATGCACATGATTCTGAAACCCTGAAGGAAAGGGAAGAAGCTCCTCACCCACGGCTTGGCCCTCCAGGAACGTAAGGGGCTGGTGGGGCCTGCAGGACAGAATGAGGGGAGCGACCTCCAGCCTGTGCAGTTGGGGGGGTGGTGTTGCACATCCGGGCCCTTCCCTGGCAGGCCGTGATGCCAGCCTCAGCCTGGCCCCTCTCCCTGCAGCCATCCTGGTGATCGAGTTCATCTATGCCATCGTGGGCATCGTGTGGCTCACGCAGTACTACACCTCCTGCAACGACCTCACTGCCAAGAACGTCACCCTCGGTACGCCAGCCCAGGGTGGAGATGTCTGGAGGTCAGCGGGGAGCCGTGTGTCCGGATGCCCCCGGAGGGCCCAAGCCCGCGGGCAGCAGTAGGCACGGGCAATGGGGCAGCAGCTATGTGCCAAGGTGGCCTTAGGCTCACGGCTCTGCAGGGCTGGGCAGGGCTTCTGAGCCTCCCTCCTGGGCCCCGGGGTTCCTGTCTTCAGGGCAGTGACCAGAGTGTTCCCCAAACCCCTTGCTTCCCACGGCTGCCCCAGGGATGGTCGTCTGCAACTGGGTGGTCATCCTCAGCGTGTGCATCACCGTGCTCTGTGTCTTCGACCCCACGGGCCGCACCTTCGTCAAGCTGAGGGCCACCAAGCGGAGGCAGCGCAACCTGCGGACCTACAACCTGCGGTCAGTAGCCGGAAGGCAGGGCTGCCTCCCAGCAGGTACTGGGACAGGCAGAGGGTGGCCATGCTCGCCATGAGGGACGCAGGCCTCCCAGGCTGCCCGGCATCTGTGAGGGGCTTGCCCTGCCCAGCCTCAGTGTCATTATGGGTAAAGTGTGAACCACAGCTCCTGCCTCGTCACGTGGTGAGGCTTACAAGAGGGAAGGGGCAGGCACCGTCACAGGCAGCGGCACTAACAGAGCCACTGTAGCCACACGGGATACAGACAGCCTGGCGTCACACAGACCAAGTTACCACTCCCGAGCAGCTGTCACTGTCCCCCGCACGGGGCACTGGGCTTCACAGAGCAAGCGGCAAGGCCGGGAACGAGCCTGGGGTCTGGCTTCCAAGCCTTTGCTTAACTCCGGGCAGGGCTGCCTCTGGGTGTCAGGTGGGAGGATGATAACCAAGGACGACATGGGAGTGCATGGGTTTCGCACTGTGCAGAGTGTGAGGGAGGAAGGAAGAAGGGTCCTCCAGGGTGGGCTGTGGGGACCCTCTTAATGGGTCCCCTTCACACAGCCAGCCCCTTTCACCCCCGGCCGCCCCAGCGAGCTGTGAGACGCACCCTCCGGACCACCCTCTGCATCGCTTGCCAGATGCTGGTGCCGGGTGTGGATGTGGCCCTCTGCCTCCAGCCCAGAGCTGCAGTTCAGGGCCCCACCCCGCAGGACCCCGGCCCGGCCCGGCCCGCGGCCTGCACCAGTCCCTGGGACCTTCCACAGCAGCCCATCTGCTCCAGAGCTGCACCCTCGCCTGGCCTGGCGTGGCCTGGCTGCTTCCCAGCCCCCAGTGCCAGGCCCAGAGCCACTTCCCTCCCTGTTTTCCTCCTTGCTCCAAGCTCACGGCCTGCCGGACCTGGGTTCTGGGCTCCGGGGATCCTGGAAAGAAACCTCCCCTCCCGCCAGGGTGATCCTGTGGGCCCTGGCAGCCGCCCTCACCCCCTGCTGCGGGCCAGCGGTTCCGTGTTTTAATTAGAGAGCGCTCTGTGGTTTCCGCCGCCAAGGTGAGGGGGAGGCCTGAGCTCACCGACCTCGGCCTGCTGCGGTTTCCCTCCCCGTGTGGGCCCCGCTTGCCTGCCTGGGGCTGCGGCGTGCCTGCGCAGGCCCACTTCCAACAGCCAGTGAGTCTGGCGCGGCCACCCCACACCGGCCCCCCGTGCCTGGAAGTCGGGGTGCGGCTTCGCCCTCGGCCTCTCTCTGGCCGTGAGACCAGTGGGGGCGGAGGAGTGCACCGGGTCCAGCACTGCCCCAGGAGTCTGGACTTCCCGCCGTGCCCAGGGAGCCTCTGCCCCCTTTCTAGCCTCAGCGTGCCGCAGGGCAGAGGCGCCGGGGGCTGGAAACTTCCGTGCAGCCTGGCTTTATGTCTCCGGGCCCAGGCGGCACTTGGCTGTACCTCTCACCTGCTGGCACACGGCCCCGAGATGACCTGCCCCCTGGTGCACGTCAAGGGTTCTGCGGGGGTGTGCGGGCTGGCAGGAGTCTGCGTTGGCTCTGAAAGCACTGTTGGGTTAGAAAGCATACGGTGCTCTGGGAAGTCAGCGCGCGCGTGCTTAGGATGCAGGGCTGCTCGCGCCCCAGGTCCTGCCGACCCCCTCCACAGCCTGGGAGACCTGGCCTGCCCCGCTGGCTGCCTGGCCTGGGGCCTGGGGCTGACGGAGCCTACCCGTCCCTCCTGCTGGCCGCTTAGTGCCCAGGCGCAGCTGAGCCCCACCTTGGCCCTCCTGATGCCCAGCCCTGGGGAGGACAGGGAGGCCCTGCCGTTCTGCCATCCCCCAGGGCTCCCAGCCTGAGCCTCTGGGCACTCAGGCTGCAGAGTGACCCCACGTCGGCCTAGTCCTGAAGCCCCCAGAGGGTGCCAGGAAGTGTGCCCGTCCATGCCCTGGGCTCCAGGGCTGACCACCCGCTCCAGCAGAGCCCCCAGCACTGGTGGGGCCTGGGTGTGGCCCCCATTCCCACAGTGTCCGGCACCGACACCCCCCTTCCCACCGTCCCTTGCAGGCACCGCCTGGAGGAGGGCCAGGCCACCAGCTGGTCCCGCCGGCTCAAGGTGTTCCTATGCTGCACCCGCACCAAGGACTCGCAGTCCGTAAGTACCAGGGGTGCCTCGCCCGTGCCCTGGGGTCTGTGCCTTCCAGCCCTGTGGCAGGCCGGTGGGCAGGCCGGGCTGGACGTGGCAGCCTGCTCAGCATGGGGCATTCTGTCCTTCCCTGGCAACGCCTCTGCCGGCAAGGCAGCTGTCACTGGCTTTGCAGAAGGACCAGAGAAACCCCTGCAAATGAACGTAGGTTTAGTCGGAGGACGCTCAGAAGTCAGGCACCCAGGGTGGGAGGGGCCAGCGGCCGAGGGAGCTGCGAGACCTGTGGGGCGCAGAGTGCGTGGCCGGCCTTCAGCTCCGAGTCCTGGGTTCGAGGCCCTCGGGACCAGGCACCACCCAAGGGGCGCGGCATCTGCAGAGCTCATCTGGGGCCACCTCATTAGGGGGTTAGCAGCGGAGGCCCAGAGGGGTATAGCCGGCACCCGTCTCCCAGGTGGTAGGTCTCAGGGTGGGAGGCCACTCCAGAAGCCAGTGGAACCCTCCAGGGCAGGTTCACCCAGCGTGAGTGACCGAATCCGAGAGAGCCTGAAGTGCAGCTGGCATTGGCGGGCAGGCAGAGGGCAGGCCTGGGAGGCAAATATGCACGGTGCGGGGCCGACTCAGGGCCTGCTGCGTCCTATTCAGGGTGACTGGTGCGGGGCCCAGGCCAAGTACTTTTGGACTGGACTCTTTAATAAGCATGTATTCTTTTGGATCAGTTTGTGCTGTGTTGTTTAAAAACTTGTGTTGGAAGTTGGGTGGGGTGGTACACACCTGTCATCCAGCACTGTGGGAGGCTGAGGCAGGAGGATTGTAGGTTTGAGTGGGGCCTGGGTATGTAGTGATTCAAGGAGAAAAAAGGACAGGGGATGTAGCCTGGCTTGCAGGTCCTGGGTTCAATCACTAAATCCCTGGTATAAAACAACAGCAGCAACAAAACAACAACAAAATTGAAAAAAAAAAATCCACACCGTGGCCACCAGCACGGGCCTTTGTGCAGGCCCTGCGTCTCTGCACCTGGCCGCCAGGGCCTCTCCCCCAGTGGTTGCTGAGCAGCAGCTGCACCTCCAGATCCCTTTCTCTGTGTGCTGGGCCCTTCGGGGTGAGCCTAGCAGGCACTGACAGCCCAGAGGACACTCGGCCTGGCCAGTGAGCGGCCCTGCAGGCCCCCAGCCCAGGGCCTGGAGGGAGAGTGGCCCCCAGCCCACAGCTTTTCCGCGGGTCTTGGATGCCCAGGAGTCCCTGGAGGCCCTGGGCAATGCTGCTGGGCAGCAGGGGGCCTGGGGGGCTCCCCATGCCCGGGGGGCTTGCAGGTCACAGCGGGAAGGGACCGATGGGTGCAGCCAGGGCCCCGCCAGCCTGTGTTCCTGGTGTCGGGACAGGAGGAGAGGGCAGCATTGCTGCGTGCAGTAGACAGCGTGGTGTGGGCCCAACCGGGAGAGGCCGCCCTGGCCTCACTCCTGCTCTCTGCCCCGCTGCCCGCCCGCATGTCCCAGGACGCCTACTCGGAAATCGCCTACCTCTTCGCCGAGTTTTTCCGAGACCTCGACATCGTGCCCTCCGACATCATTGCCGGCCTGGTGCTGCTCCGCCAGCGGCAGCGGGCCAAGCGCAATGCCGTGCTGGACGAGGTGAGTGCAGGCCTCCGGGCCACCGCTCGCCATCCCCCCAGGGGCCCTGCTGCTGACCGGAGCTCCCTGTCCCGCCCTGGTTCTCTTCCTGCCACATGCCGAGGGACCCCTTCGCAGGGCCCATCAGGTGCCCAGCCCCTGACCTCTGCTCTGCACTGTGGTCTGCCCTGCTGCTCCTCCTGCGTCCCCTTGGTCTCAGTGTCGTCACCTGCAAGACTCCCGCCCCTGCAGAGCACCCCAAGGCTGTGCCCCTTGGCTGAAGGAGGGCATCTAGAAAGGGGGGCTCCTGATCCAGAGCCCTGGCTGCTGGCCAGATCTCAGAAGAGCCAGGAGCCCCGGGGCCTCAGGGAACAGTGGAGCTCGGGGCCAGGCCCCACTCACCGCTGCACCTGTCTTCCAGGCAAACAACGACATCCTAGCCTTCCTGTCTGGGATGCCCGTGACCAGAAACACCAAGTACCTCGACCTCAAGAACTCGGTGAGTCACAGGCCGCTCCTGTCCCCCGTCCTCTGCCCTCCAGAGAGCCCCAGCTGTCAGATCATGGCCCCCAGATCCCGTGCTTCTGCCATGGAACCCCGAGTCCCAGCCGAGCTTCCTGGCCTCTTGAGACGGTAGAGCCCCCGTCAGGTGAGCTGGCTGTCCTCAGGCTGTCCAGCCCGTAGGCCGTGGGATCCCAGCCTCAGCGCCTCTGGTGGAGACCCCTCCTGGGAAGGGGTGGTGCCAGCCCAGGGTGGGCACAGCTGGGGAGGGAGCTGGCCCTGCCCTGGGAGTGTGGATCTGGGTCTCTGCCACACTGCAGCCCCTGCAGCTGTGAAGGGACCCTGGGGACAGCTTCAGCCAGAGCTTGGGGAGCCAAGGGCCGCCCCGAGTGCCTCCTGCCAGGCCCAAGGCAGAGCCGCCACGCGGGGCTGCTCATGTCAGCCCTGGTGACCTCGCACTTGAGGGAAGGTCACTCTGCAGGCGGCTGAACCCACAGCAGCTGCCCAGCAGCCTCTGCTCACTGTGGACCTGCCCGGCTGACTCTGTCCTGGGGTGACGGAGCGGGGGCCAAGGGCAGGGCGCGGGCACAGACCCAGAGTCCTCTGCTCACTGTGGACCCGCCTGGCTCACTGTCCTGGGGTGACGGAGCGGGGGCCAAGGGCAGGGCGCGGGCACAGACCCAGAGTCCTCTGCTCACTGTGGACCTGCCTGGCTGACTGTCCTGGGGTGACGGAGCGGGGGCCAAGGGCAGGGCGCGGGCACAGACCCAGAGTTAGCCCCTCTCAGGACCCACTGTAGGCAGCCTGGGACTCCGAGAGGACTCCTCACCCCCACCCGTCTGTGAGGCCCGTTAATGCCCTGGGTGCCCAGGGTGCCTGGCCTGACACCTGTGCCCCCTCTGGCCCCAGGGAGCCACGGCAGCTCTGGGCCTCGGACCCCTGGGTCTCCCCAGGTGCTCTTTCCAGGGGACCCCAGCCGCCAGGCCTTGCCTGAGTGTCGTCCCCACGTCTCAGCCTGGAGCCCCTGGAGGGCTCTGGCCGCTTGTCCCCTCACCAAGGCAGCAGTGAGAAGGTCCAGGTCCTCCCGGAGCTGAGCCCCTGGCCACCACTGCCCTTCCCCGCTTTCCTGGGTCTGACGGCCGAGGCAGGGTGACCCCACTCACACCCTCGCTCGCTGCCAGGAAATCAGTCAAGCGCTCCCAGCGATTTCCCGTCCCCGAGTCATTAATTCTGAGATGCAGGTGCGGGACAGATCCCAGTAGGATCTGTGCCCTGGTTGCACAGATAATTGGGGACGTGCAATTATGTGGAGGCGCGCGGCCCCCGCAGGCCCGGCCCGGCCTCCCGCCTGCGGGGCGAGCACTGTGGGGACGCGGGCGGCACCCTCTGCGCTGTCTTCCAGCACGAGATGCTGCGCTACAAGGAGGTCTGCTACTACATGCTGTTCGCCCTGGCAGCCTACGGCTGGCCCATGTACCTGATGCGCAAGCCCGCCTGCGGCCTCTGCCAGCTGGCCCGCTCCTGCTCGTGAGTGCCGCCCCGGCCGCGCCTGCGCCCCTCACACCCGTCTGCAGGGCCTGGGCAGCGCAGCTGGGCGCTCGGGAGACACGCCGCTCGGGGCTCAGATCCGGACGGGTCCCCTTACTTCCCGCCCGTTCTCCGCCCACATCGCCCCGTGTCCGGCTCCCTCCTGGCCCCCTTTCCAAGGCACGCAGGGGCCCCTGCAACTATGGCTCCTCATTCTGCCCCGCCCGCCCTCCCCGGCTGAGGCGGGGACTCCGGGAGGAACCCTGTGCTTGCGTCCTTCTGAGTCTGGCCCAGGTGGGCAGAAGGAGGACAGCTCCCTGGGCGCCTGTTCTGGAAAGGCTGGCGTGTTCCGCGGTGCCCGCCCTCCCCAGAAAGCTGGTGGCCCCTGGGACGCACTTGCTGTCGTGCCCACAGCAGCTCAGTGGGGGCCTGGGGCCTCGAGCCCTGGGTCCTTCCCTGCCAGCCGCGTGTGCCTGGCCTTCCTCCGGTGTTCTCGGAGGCCCTGCTGGGCTGAGCACCCAGAGAGCGCTTGGCCAGGAGTCCTGAGCCAGGCCGCGGCGACACCTGTCAAGCCCTTGCCTCGGTCGTAAGAGGTGGTGTCCCCTGCAGGGCGTTTCATCACCCACGAGGCCCTGGTGGGTAGGGCCCAGGGCACTCTGCAGACACGGGATATGGGCGCTGGCGTCTGCCTGCTCAGGGCAGCGGGAGGGCCCGAGGGCCCGGGGTCAGGAGGACCCAGGCTCGCAGCCAGGGCTTGGGCTGGGCCAGAGGAGCACGGAGCCCGCGCCTGCTTGGTCTGGCGTGGTGCTGGGAGGAGCTCTCCAGTGGGCGCGGGCGCGGGGCCGAGCCCAGGGCACACGCTGGCTTCCCTGGGGCCCTGCGGCTCCCTTGGCCCTCAGTCCCTGCCCCAGGGAGGCTCTGCACCCCACACTGTGGATGAGGAAACTGAGGCCTAGATGACGGAGCACCTCAGAAAGGGGAGGGTACAGCGGGAAGGGTCGGGACCCCGAGACCGCCACCCCAAGGAGGAGCCCAGCCCCGCCCTGCTGCTGAGCCTGTGCCGTGACGCCTCCGGGCTCTGCTTCTGGAGGGTGATGGGGCGGGCTACACCCGGGCATCAGGGTCTCGGCTGGACCCTGGGCTTCTTCACCAGGCCTCTCAGACTATTCCGCTGTGAGGGAGACAGCTCTGAGCGCGCCGAGGTCAGGGACTTTGATAGGATTCGGCGGCGTCCCCACCCCATCTGTGTGCTGCTGGCGCCCTCTGGTGGCGGGAGGGACAGCTGCAGCCTGCTGACGGGTTCCCTCGAGGCTGGGTCACTCACTGCAGGCGCTGCTCGTGCAGTGGTGTGGCGTGTGCAGTGGTGCCCGCCCAGTGTGTGTCACAGCAGCTGGGTGGCCTGGTGGGTGGGAGGTGCCTGAGAGGAGGGGCCGGAGGCCGGTGGGAGGAGGCCGGCTTGACAAGCTTTCGGGGCTTGCTGAGTCTGACGTGGGACAAGTTTGGGTGGGGCGCAGGGCGGAGAGGGCCGGGTGCAGGCGGCCAGGGGAGGGAAAGGCCGAGGGTGGAGGGCAGGGGTGGGGCCAGCCAGCAGGGGCTCGGTCAGGGATGGGGGGTCTTACGCCTGGGAGTCCACACCCCCTGGGGGCCGGGCAGGAGCAGGTGTGGGGGAGCGTCCAGGGCCCGGGACAGCTGCAGGGGCCCTGCTGGTGCAGAGCTGTGGGACAGGGGCCGCAGAGAGACCCAGTGTAGGGGGTGCTTGGGGTGCCGGGGTTTGGGATGTGCCGGTCACGGAGGTTACAGCAAGGGTGATCGTGGGGGCAGTGGGGTCCGCTCTAGGGGTCGGAGGAGAAATCTGCTGCCCCCCACGCAGCTGCTGCCTGTGCCCCACACGGCCCCGGTTTGCCCCTGGCGTCACCATCGAGGAGGACAACTGCTGTGGCTGCAACGCCATTGCCATCCGACGCCACTTCCTGGATGAGAACATGACAGCAGTGGACATCGTCTACACCTCCTGCCACGACGCGGTGAGCTGTGGCTGCTTGTGAGGTGGACGCCAGCCCCACACCCAGCGTCAGGTCCCCTGGCCCAGCCGTTGGAGGCGAGGGCGGCCACGGGGAGGGGTGAGGTCCGTGCGGACCCGTGTGGCGCGTGGCGCTCGGGCTGCTGGGTCATGAGGCCCGGCCTTGCTTGGGAACATGGGCTCCGTGGCAGCGCCGGACGGGGTCAGACCCCGGGACAGTGGCTCAGCGTGGCTACCACTCTCGGGCTCACGCGCCGCCGCCCCCAGGTGTACGAGACCCCCTTCTATGTGGCTGTGGACCACGACAAGAAGAAAGTGGTGATCAGCATCCGGGGAACCCTGTCCCCCAAGGTACGCTGTGCCCCTCAAGGCCCGGGAGCCCCGCCCGTCTCTCCACGCTCACCCGTGCCCCTCCCCCTCTGCCCCAGGATGCCCTGACCGACCTGACGGGCGACGCCGAGCGCCTCCCCGTGGAGGGCCATCGTGGCACCTGGCTGGGCCACAAGGTACTGGCTGCCCCGCGCGCGGGGCCGCTCCCTGGGCTGCAGGAGGGACGGCTGGGCTGGCTTCACCCGCAAGGCCCATGCGGCCTGTCCTCGGGACCCCATCCCCACCTGTGCCCAGAGCACTATAGGGCAGCAGGGCTGCCACGCCGGCACCTGCCAGCGCCACCTGCCAGGCTTCTGGTTTCCCCGGACAGGGCAGCCCCAGGCCCCAGGGCCAGGCTGTCCTGGGGAGCACAGGGGCAGGGCCAGTGGCTTGGGTCTGTGGTCTGCAGATCCCCAGGCCTCCCGTGACACCCCGTCTCCCACCCAGGGCATGGTGCTGTCTGCCGAGTACATAAAGAAGAAGCTGGAGCAGGAGATGGTCCTGTCGCAGGCCTTCGGGCGAGACCTGGTGAGGCGAGTCCCATGCCCCGGGCCTGAGCGCCCCGCCTTGGGGCCTGGGCCGTGACAGCCTCCTGGGAGGGGACATCAGGGAGAAGCTTGTGACGCACAGGACAGCAAGGACGGTGGTGGAGCGTGTGGAGGGCGCCCCGCTGTGCCTGCCACCCTGCTGGTGCAGAGCTCCCTGCCCGGGCACTGCCAGCCGCCCCGCCTGGGCCGAGTGAGCGCAGGTATCTGGGCGCAGTCTGGCAGGCAGCGGGCAGGGTGCTCAGGTGTCTCTCCTCCTCAGGGCCGCGGAACCAAGCACTATGGCCTGATCGTGGTGGGCCACTCCCTGGGTGCGGGCACCGCGGCGATTCTGTCCTTCCTCCTGCGCCCACAGTACCCGACCCTCAAGTGCTTCGCCTACTCGCCTCCCGGGGGCCTGCTGAGGTGAGCACTCAGACCCCTGGGGCCAGGCCAGGCCTCGTGGGCATCGGGCTTCCGGCCGTGGGGACGTCTGGCACGCCCAGTGCGTGGGGAGTGGTGCCTCAGTCGCTTCCCTACCCGCGCTCACGGGCAGAGATCTGTGGACTCCCATCTCGGACAGGGCTTAGTCCCGGGGTAGCAGGGGCACAGCGCCTCAGAAGAGAGCAGCAGACACGGACCAGGGCCAGGCCCTGCGACCCAAAGCGCCTGGCAGTGTCCCACCGGGCGCCGCGGTGACACGCCCTGACTGTCCCCGCGGTGGCAGATGAGGATGGTCACCTGCCCTGTCCAGCCCTGGCTCAGCCTTCCAGCAGGAGCTGCCCAGGAGCCCCAACCCACCGCGACTTCCCTTGCAGCGAGGACGCGATGGAGTATTCCAAAGAGTTCGTGACGGCTGTGGTTCTGGGCAAGGACCTGGTCCCCAGGCGAGTCCCCTCCCGTGTGGCCCCAGCAGGCCTGTGCCCCACCTCAGGCTCCGAGGGACCCCAGGGGCCCTCCATACCTGCAGTTACCCGTGGTGAGAAGACGGGGTCACGGGCGCGCTCGCTGTGCCCCAGGCTGTCCCTGTGACCCCAGTGTCCCCGCCTCCCTCCGCAGGATCGGCCTCTCGCAGCTGGAGGGCTTCCGCAGGCAGCTACTGGACGTGCTGCAGCGCAGCACCAAGCCCAAGGTGGGTCCCTGCCCCATCCCCCGGTCCTGCAGGACAGAGCCCCGCGGGCCCACGGAGTGTCCTGGACCTCAGGGCTCCAAGGCCGGTTAGCACTGGGGGAAACTGAGGCCCAGCATGGGCAGGATTCACCCCTAATTATCGGGGTCCTGACCAGGTTGCCTGGGCTCAGGGTCTAGGCTCAGCCCACCCTGCTCCCCTGCAGGGCCGCAGCAGACACGCCCTTCCTGAGGCACAAGGAGTGGCCCTGGGGGCTGTGTGGCAGGGTCCTCCTAGGTCACTCCCACAGCCCCTGCGGCCCTCCCCTGCAGCCCCTGCGGCCCCCCCCCCGTGATGTCTGGAACCAGGGCAGGCTGGCAGCTCTGTGGGGGCAGCCACCCGGGCATGAGGGACCCTGGCCTAGGCGCTGGCCAGGCCAGGAATGTGGTAGCTGCCCCCCAGCCTAGCAAGAGCTGAGCCCTTCTGCTTGGACTCAGAGCAAGCACCCGGAACCCCGCAACCCCACCTCCTCCACGCGTGGCTCTTCCTGGCACCCTGGCCACTGCACCTCAGGTGGACACAGCTTTCATGCCAGGCCCCTAGCCGGGCATGGTGGTGCCCGCCTGTAATCCCAGCACTCAGGAGGCTGAGAATTCACGCTGTGAATTCAACGCCATCCTGGGCTAAGTGAACTCAAGGCCAGCCTGAACTGCATAGCGAGACCCTGTCTCAAAAAGATAAAAAAAAAAAGTAACTCATGCCAGGTCCCTGCCCTGCCATTGTCCCCTGCGGCCCACCTGCCCACTCCGTTCCACTCTGTCCCCGTCCCTCCCCACAGTGGCGGATCATTGTGGGAGCCACCAAGTGCATCCCCAAGTCGGAGCTGCCTGAGGAGGTAGAGGTGACCGCACTGGCCAGCACCCGGCTCTGGACCCACCCCAGCGACCTGACCATCGCCCTGTCAGCCAGCACCCCGCTCTACCCGCCGGGCCGCATCATCCACGTGGTCCACAACCACCCCGCGGAGCACAGCTGGTAGGTGCCCGCGTGGGCGAGTGCCCACCAGGTGCGGAGGGCCCGGCCACCCTGCACCCTGGGCACAGAGCACGAGGCCTCACCTGCTTTCCTCCTGAGGCCAGGCGCCCGTCCCCGAGCGCGGGCAGTGGCCCGGCCCAGCTCAGGGCTGGCCGCCTGGGCAGAGCCAACAGGGCCTGAGAGGACCCCCTCCCCATCAGCTGCTGTGAGCAGGAGGAGCCCACGTACTTTGCCATCTGGGGCGACAACAAGGCCTTCAATGAGGTGATCATCTCGCCGGCCATGCTGCACGAGCACTTGCCCTACGTGGTCATGGAGGGGCTCAACAAGGTGAGCACGGCCGCACCGCACAGGCGTAGGCTCCGTGGGGTGGGGCGCCACCTTCCCGGGGCCCAGGCCGAGCCCCGGCCATAGGTGGGCAGGAGGCACCTTGGCCAGGCGCGAGGCGGGACCAGCCGTGCCTCCCACCCCAGGTGCTAGAGAACTACAACAAGGGGAAGACGGCGCTGCTGTCCGCGGCCAAGGTCATGGTGAGCCCCACTGAGGTGGACCTGACGCCCGAGCTCATCTTCCAGCAGCAGCCGCTGCCCACGGGGCCCACGCTGCCTGCCGGGCTGGCTCTGGAGCTACCAGCCGCCGAGCAGCGCAACAGCAGCGTCAGGTGAGCCCCGTTGCCAGGCCCACCCGCCGTGGGCAAGGCTCTGCACAGGCGGGGTGGGGGCTGCCTTCTGCGCCACTGCCCCTCAGCTGGCATGGCTAGGCCGCGGGCCACAGTCCCTAGGCACACAGCCAAGCCGGCAGACGCCGTGCGTTTATGCACACATGCACACAGGGGCTTGCTTGTGTTGTTTTGATGGTCCTGGGGATTGAACCCATGTCCTTTGCACTGAGCTACACCCAGCCTTATTTTTGTTTCTCATGGTTTTGTTTTGTGTTGTTTTGTTTTTCATCTTGAGTCGGGGTCTTGCTAATTTAGTTTCCCCAGCTGAGCTTGGACTTGCAATCCTCCTGACTCAGCCTCCTAGAGTGCTAGGGTGAGAGGTGTATCGCACTGTGCCTGATACTTGTGTGTTTGTACCGAAGTACACAAAAGCACACATTTGCGTGCAGTGGTCAGTCACAACACACAGATCACCCATGCAGACATGCACAGTACAGGACACGCGCACAGGCGGCCCGGCTGACACACGGACAGCTGGTGTACACTGTGCACACAGGAGGAGGCGTGCACACACTTGTCCTCAGAGCGCACGCTCTTCGTGGACACGTGCACTCAGGCGGTGGCGTGGAGACGGTGGCTGGGTGAGGAGGTTGGCAGTGCCAGGCAGCAGACACCCCAGCGCCGAGGAGGTGCTGGTGGGCCGTGCCCTGCACTGTGTGGGCGTCTGCCGCTCCTGCACCTTCCGGGGTGGCTGAGGGTTTTGTGCCCTCACCTGCACCCCTCCCCGCAGGAGCAAGTCCCAGTCCGAGATGAGCCTGGAGGGCTTCTCCGAGGGCCGGCTGCTGTCCCCCGCGGTGGCGGTGGCCGCCCGCCAGGACCCTGTGGAGCTGCTGCTGCTGTCCACTCAGGAGCGGCTGGCAGCCGAGCTGCAGGCCCGGCGGGCACCGCTGGCCACCATGGAGAGCCTGTCGGACACCGAGTCGCTGTACAGCTTCGACTCACGCCGCTCCTCCGGCTTCCGCAGCATCCGCGGCTCGCCCAGCCTGCACGCCGTGCTGGAGCGTGACGAGGGCCACCTCTTCTACATCGACCCCGCCATCCCCGAGGAGAACCCGTCCCTGAGCTCCCGCACCGAGCTGCTGGCCGCCGACAGCTTATCCAAGCACTCGCAGGACACACAGCCGCTGGAGGCCACCCCGGGCAGTGGCGGCGCCACCCCAGAGCGGCCCCCAAGTGTGGCCCGCGCCGAGGAGGAGGCGGTGTCAGCGGTGGCCGCAGACAGCGGCACGGCGCCCCTGGGGGAGCTGGCTCTGCACAATGGCCGCCTGGGGGACTCACCCAGCCCGCAGGTGCTGGAGTTCGCGGAGTTCATCGACAGCCTCTTCAACCTGGACAGCAAGAGCAGCTCCTTCCAGGACCTGTACTGCATGGTGGCCCCCGAGAGCCCCACCAGTGACTATGCTGAGGGCCCCCGCTCCCCCAGCCAGCAGGAGATCCTGCTCCGTGCCCAGTTTGAGCCCAACCTGGTGCCCAAGCCCCCACGGCTGTTTGCCGGCTCAGCGGAGCCGTCCTCGGGCATCTCCCTGTCCCCGTCCTTCCCGCTGAGCTCCTCGGGCGAGCTCATGGACCTCACACCCACAGCCCTCAGCAGCCAGGAGTGCCTGGCGGCCGACAAGGCCCGGACCTCCACGCCCGCTGGCCGAGGGGATGACCTGGTCATCCCAGCACGCTAGTTGGCACTGTGCACTGTTGCCAGGCCAGGTGGCTCTGAGGGGCTGGGTGGCCTCAGCATGGGCCGCCGCTGTGAGCTGGGTGTCCGCATCCCTACCTCAGCCTAGAGCCCCCGAGCCAGGCGGCTGGGACCTGGCCCTGTGGGGCGGGGTGGGCGGCCGAGCAGGCTCATCAGAGGGCATCCCGCTCCCCATTTCCGGGCAGGTGTGGGCAGCCGCCCCCCACCACCACACTCTGGCTGCTGGCCCCCGTGGCCCACGCGGGCATCTGCCCTGCCAACCCCAGCTCCGGTGCCTGCTGGCCGGCCCCCGGGGGTGGTGTTGCCAAGGTGGCTGCAGTGCTGTGTTTACAGAAGCTGCCTGGCTCGGCCTGGCCCACACCACACAGCTCGTGTGCTTAGTCAAGGGGCTGGAGGTGGGCAGGGCCGCCCCATCTCTGCCCCTCTGCCGGTGGTCCTGGGCACCCCAACCTGCCCTGCCTACCTGCTGTTTCCTGGCCCACCTTCCACTCCCAGGGACCCTGGCAACTCAAAGGGTGGTGGGCACTGCTAGGACCAGCCCTGGCTGCAGAGTCAGCGCCCTGGGAGAAGAGAAGGCGCCAAGCCCTTCCTCGGAGGCCCCCCTGCCCCCTTGCACACTCCCACCATGCCCAGCAGTCTGGGCCTGGAATCTGAAGCCAAATGCACCCCTGCCCCAGCCTTTGCTGGCCTGGGCTCCCTGCAGGGACCCGGGCACTCCGTACTCCTGGCAGGAAGTGGGGCCGGAGCAGACCCTGCACCTGCCCAGGGGCGGGTCCCTCCCTGCCGGGCAGGGAGGCCGTGCATGCTGGCGCAGGCACGTGTGTGCATGTGCACGGGCATGCGCCTTTCCTGGGGAACCCCGCGCCTGCCTGCCCACCCTGCCCACCCACCCAGAGGGCACGGGGTGGGGGCTCCGTCCTGGAGCATGGTCCCTCCTGCCTGTGCCTCCCTGCCCTGACCCTGACCCGTCCCCGTGGTCGTTGGTACCTGGGCCTGGGTGCCCCCACCTCACACGGCTGGGGCCTGCCGCCGTGCTGCCCGCCTGACGCCAGTCCCAGACCTGACGAGGGAGCGGGGTCTCCCTCTTTCTCTGCCCTCCCGCCTTCCCCACTCCGGGCCCCCCACTGCCCAGCCCCTAAGCAAGACAAGTCAGTGGCTCCTGGAACCTGAAACCGTAGACCAGGCCTAGTCAGAGGGAAGCGCCTGCTGGCCCGCTGGGGCGAGGGAGGCCCCCTCTGCCAGGGATGACGGTCCGGTCTGGGGCGCCCAGGCACGAGCCATCAGGGACAGGCCCCCCCCAGGCTGCCGCTGCACCACGCTGCACACTGGGCTGGGGTCCGCACCAGCCTGAAGGACGGGGCAGCACGTCCCCATCCGCGGTTGGGGCCTGAGCCACTCCTCAGCCCGGGGCTCAGACAGCTCCGACCCGCAGCACAAGCTGTCCGGCCGACCACCTCCGTACGCAACCGTGGCGGCGGCCAGCCAGTCCCTCCTGCACTCCACGTGCCATTCCCGTGACTTTTGTACCTAATGTATGAAAGATCCACACTAATACTGCTGTACAGAGGACAGACAGATGAATATAGCTTATCTATAAATATATCTGTATATACCGGTTTCTGTATATTGTATAGAGCTGTGTATAAATGGATGTAGGAGCACGCTGGCCGCCTTGAGTGACCTGTCTTCCATTGCGGCAGTGCGGCAGGGTGGGGACTCGGACGCCAGGGTCGTGGCAGAGCGGGGAAGCAGAAAAGGGGAACGGAGGCTCCCAGCCCAATCCCGTTCTGGCCCGGAAGATGCAAGGTGTGATTGGGTGCAGGAGGGAGTGCCAGTCTGTGCGAGGAGCCGGGCCGAGACTGTGGTCAGGTGTGTGCCTCCAGTCCTGACAAAAAGTGGCCCCAGAGCTGGGCACAGTGGCACACACCTGTAATCTTAGCACTGGAGAAGCTGAGGCAGGAGGGTCACAAGTTCCAGTCTCAGCTGAGCAACTTCAGTGAGACACTCTCAAAAATAAAAGGGGTTGGGAAATAGCCCAGTGGTGAGCGCTCCCCGGGCCCCATCCCTGACCCCCACACCCACATACCCAGGCTTGGAGCTCACTTGGGTCTGTGGGGCCTAGAACCTGCATCTTCACCCTGCCCTTGGTTCCAAGCTCAGCTGACTTGGGGGACAGAGGACGCCATGCCTGTGGGCCTTGGAGCCCCTGGCAGCCCTGCCTGGCCTCTTGTGTATCCCATTGTTACAGCCGTGCAAAACAGAGGTGGCCCATTTCCCTGCAAGCTCCAATCCTCGGAGGGTTAGGGGCTGCCCGGGCCTGCAGCACCAGGACAGCCTGCCACACCAGACGCTGGGCAGGGTGGGGGGACAGCGAGGGGCAGAGCTGAAAGGAGGGCCACTGGACGGCTTACCTGGGGACCCCGGGACCGGAGAGCTCAGGAGGGACCGCAGGCCCGCAGGCTTCCCTACTGCTGGACCTGGCCCAAACCTGCCCCTTTCGCACAGCAGGGGGCGCTGTTCCCTGTCCATAGCCTCGCGACAGAAGAGGCCAGGCGGCCTGCAGCACCCTCCAGGACTGTGGCCTCCCCAGCCCTTGCAGCTTTTGCTCCTGGGACTCACAGTGGTCTACAGAGGACCCTGTCCCTCGTGGAGCAGAGTCAGGCCCAGAGAGGTCCTGCGGCCGCCCAGTGCCGCGGTGTGGAGGGGACTCATGTCACAGTGCCTGCCACCACCCTGCCCTGCCTCTGCCCAACACTCTTGGGCCAGCCAGCGCTGGGACAGTGGGTCTCAGCTCAGTGACCACCGGGAGCTGGGCCTCCCTCTCGTGGGTGGGCAGGGGCTCTGTGCGCCCGGCACGTCGAGGCCAGCCGGAGCCCCTCAGGACGAGTGGGAGGCCCAGCCTGGCTGTCCAGGGGAGCCTGCGCCCGGGGGTGCGCTCAGCTCACAGCTGGGCCTCAACGAGCCTGCTGTATGCACCTAGGCCTGCGCTGCCCAGGCACAGGCCACACGGAGCTGCCCACCGTGCCCAGCCGGCCCTGGCACCCTCCTCCATCGGGAACTGTGGGGCATTGACCTGCCCCCAGCCACCAAGGCCTGTGACAGGCCACGTCTGGGCATGGGCACGAATGCCCTGTCCCCTAGGCTGTCTCGGGTGGACAGGAAGAGGGGGAGGAGGACAGGAGGAGAGGGGGAAGCAAGGGGGGGAGAAAAGGAAGGGGGGGAGGGGGGAGGGAAGGGAAGAGGAGGGGAGAGGAGAGGGGGAGGAGGGGTGAAAGAGGGCAGGGTGTGGGGAAAGGGCAGCGCTTTGAGCCCCTTCCTGGCCCCACCCCGCTCTGACCACCACGGCGCTGTGGCAACCTGGTCTGCAGATCCCATCACTTGTCGTGGGTGGAGTTTTCGGGCCAGGCTGCTGCCCTGAGCTCAGTCCTGAGAGGCCTAGGCCCGATGCTCCAGGGTAGGACGACCTGCTGGCTGGGAGGGACCTGTGTGGCAGACAGCTGGGATGGCATATGCCAAGGCCCCGGGGCAGGTGTGGGCCAAGACTTAGGGAGTCACAGAGAGAAAAGTAGGAGCGGAGGTCCTGCCCTGGCCTCGCAGCTCAGATGTCGGGGTGCAGAGGGTGCACAGGACCTAGCCCAGGAGTGACAACCGCGACGGAGGGACTGCGAGGAGCGGCTGTGCAGTTTGGCGAGGTGAGGGAGGGCGGCTGAAGGTGGCAGGTAGGAGGCTGGGGCCGCAGCTTCCTACCTGGGTCCCGGCCTCTCCTGGGCCCTGACTCTGGGCTCAGCCTCGGCCTCTTGGGCCTGCAGTGCCCGGGGGGGGGTGGCACCGTGGCTGCTCCCTAAATCCTCGACCCTAGACCAAGGGTGGCCGGTGTCTGCTTGCTGCACAGCACCTGGAGCCCCACCTGCGTAGCCTGGCGCCCCTCTCCTTGTGGCCCCCGCTCCGCGCCCCAACCCTGCGGGGTCAGGGCCAGCAAGGCAAGACCCTGCAGGTCAGTGTGGGGGGTTGAGGGGCCAGTAGGGCAGCCTCGATGGGCC